ATGTTATTAGCAAATAAAAGCAGTGCCTGACACAGTGGTGTGACATTTATCAAGGTACCTACATACCTCTCATAATAGTCGCTCCCCAGGGCTGAGCATCAAGACCCACTAGTCAAACAGTATTATATCAAATTTTCAAATAAGCACATAGTGGGTCTTAGAGTTTAAGTTGCTTCTTCAAGGTTAAGAGACTCCTAGTAATCTAGGTCTTCAGATTCAAAATCTGGTGCTCTTCCCCCTCTACTAATAATTCCAATAAACGAAATGAAAAAACTTGATCAATTCATCTGAAATTCTTTGAACTCTCATCTTTTGACTGCTACATTTACAAATTTTCTTAAAATTCTCTATCATTCCTCTTAATTGTTTAAATTCAGGCAAGTCTATTTTATTACATCATAGTTTTCTAAAATGTTTTGTCATGTTTGATGAATTGTTAATGGCATAAGAGAACATGTGAAACTAGAAAATATATTGAAAGCTACTTGGGACTAGCAGTATTATTCTAACTATAAATAGTTAAAAGTTATTAAAACATTTAAAAGAGTACCATAGAGAAGCACTTCTATTTGCTGAACAATTGAAAAGATAGTTTGGTTCTATGAAGTGCGGGAGTATTATGTTTAATAAAAGCAAAAAAGCATGGTCGCATCTTAAAGTGTTCTTACATCATGTAATTTGCAAAATTTAAACTAATATATAATCTTTTATATAGTCCTGTCCTCAACTGGGATTGTATAAAGGGCACAAGGAATTTAGAACTTAGGGCAATAAAACTTGAAAAACAATGACATTAACTTGATAAGAACATGAGAATTAGGACAATAATTTTGCACACCCCAACACTGAGAGGTTTAATTTTATTTTGGACCAACAAATAAAATAAATAAAAGCAGCTCAGACTCGCTCTACTACTTATCAAGCACTTTTCTTCATGCTCTCAAAAGTTCATTGCTATGAGAGATGACCCTGAAAACAGATAAGTTAAAATGATTTCCCAAATGTCAAAAGCCAGACAAAGCAGCAGGGCTAGTTTCAGAGTCTTCAGATTGTCGATCCTGTTAGTTATTTGCACTGCTTCACACAAGGACACAGGCAAAAACTAATGACACTGTTCAGCTTGGTCACTAGCCTCAATCTCAACCATTCATCTCTCGGTCTCCTTACAGACTAGCTCTACTGTGAAAGAAGGCCATTTTATTTACAAAATTACATGAAGTTTGACTTTCTTAGGTACTGAATGAGGTTCTTTTGTTCCATTAATTGCTTCTCTGGTAGAACATTACCTCTGGGAGAATATTAGCTCCTTGTCATTGAAAAGACTCATCTGACACTCCAGATCCACCAACTTCTCTTCTTGCTTTATGGCCTCAGATCCGGCATTGGAAGTCAAGTGAGAAAATGCTCTGCTTAACTCCTCTGCCATAAAGTATGGAAAGAAATCCTCTGGGGTATCTACTGACAGTAAGGATGTTAACTTGCAGAGCCCATCTTCTCCAAGTGCAAATGAATATGCAGCTGATTTAACAGAAATCTTGCACAAATAGGCTGATAATCAAAAATTAGAGGAGGGTAGACAGAAAAACATAAAAGAGTAAGAAAAGCTGTAACCATGTACAGCTAGACAGAAGATGAGTTTATGGAGCTCTCTCCTTTAGACCTGAAACTAATAGACACCCACACACCTGTGCTCTATTTTTAGAATATGAATTTCTCTAATGAACAATGACTTACTAGCACATAACCAGAAAGAATAACTGTAAGCAGATGCCTGGTTTACCTAATTAACTGGGCAATCCTCCCCTTCTCTCCCCATGATTTTGGCTCAGGTTAGTGTTCTATCTAGGCATGTCTGAGCTGGAAGCGCAGGAGAGATGAATACCACTATTTTTACCTTAAAGTTGAATAAAGCAGTACTTGTAATTCATATATGTGAACATCCAAGAATAGAAGTTTATCAATCATAGTTGAATCGTGTTTAAAAAGAGAATTAATTATTTAGAAAATTAGACATTCTCAGAAAAGCTAGCCATATCTATTACAGTTTGGGAATTTGAATGCAGAAAGGTCCAAGCAACACATGTACTGTTGATCTGAGATTCAGGTTACCACTGGAGATAAATGATGACAAAGGGTATGACCAAGTTTTGAATACAAAGGAAAAATAATTGCAAAAGTTACAGAATCACAGAATTTCCATTCTATTTACAATTACATTCAGACTTAACCTATTCCAACCTTACCTCATTAGATATTAATCTTACAGTGGAAATGAGAGGCTTTTAAAAGAATATTTCTGCCACAAAAAAAAAAAAAAAAAAGGATCTCACTACAGTAGAACAATAGGGTTGTGTTGAACATTAGGAGTAAAACTATCAGGCCTCGTTAGCTAATTATAGTATTGGCATTCCCTTAAGTTAGTCACTTTCTCACTTGTGTCATTTTCTCCTATTCAACTGCTGCAGTTCAAATCGTTTTGACTACTTAAAAGGGAATACATCATTGTTGCCTTTCCCCAGTCTAACTGCACACCACTTTCCAGAGCAATAGCTTCAATCATGCTTCATAAAATCCCCTGCAAGTATATTGTTGGAAACATAAATCAGCAAGCTGGGATTTTAGTATTTCTAAGGCAAGCCTAGGGATCACTGACTGGCAGTTTTCCATAGCCCCATTTTAAAAAAATAAACCAAATTATGAGTTACAGTAGGTACATATTAAAAAAAAGAAAACAGCTCCCAGTCGTGTCTGATCCTCGCCGCTGCATCCTTAATTAGAGAACAAAACGCCAGCATAAAGGAATCAGGCTCCAGGACAAGCATTTCTGTTCCCAAGCATCTCTGACTTCATTAAGACACATGGCACAGAGTACTACATGCTCCTTTTCACAAAAGCTAGGTCTCTCTGATATGCATCTGTGTCTCTAGGAGTGCCATGCATTTTGAAATGGTACTAGATAGAGAGATCTTCTGTACGAGGCTACTCTCCTACCCTGCCTCATTACAGTGAAAATGGGCTTTCCTCCAGACAGGTTTCAGTCTCAGACACCCTCTTGATAACCACTTGGTATTCTGAATTATAATATAAATCAGCTCAATCGCAATTTCACATGTACATGACACATACAGACCCAATTTATACCTTTCTGTGTGGAGTATTTCAACCCACCTAGTGAAATATTCCTAGATTTCCTTTCTATCCCCAAATTCCAACACACTTAGCCTCTGTAATGATAAATTCAGAGATTGCACAACTGAGATCTTTTTCTTCTCCAAAGCACTCACAATGTAAAGTCAGCATAAACTTCCTTTCTATTAAGCCCCCATCTTTCTCCAAACTGTCTACACTTACTTAATTGCAGTTGTATTTTAACTGAATTTTTCAGGGACTGTTTCTTAGTATTCAGAAATAGCTGTCTATTAAATGAACAGTTAAACACAAGCAGCAGTTTTCCAAAAATCAAGGCAACAAATCTGCAGGGCATAAGTGTGTGTTGATATTCACCATAAGACCTACTGAATTAACAGATTGGGTTAGTATTAGCTTCAGAGGGACATAGCTACAATTTTGCTAAGAATGAAACATTCCATACTCTTGGTATTAGTAGCCCTGTACCACGACACTTCACAAACCATAGCAATACCCAGCATCTGCATTCTGATTTCTGAACATAACATCTACATCCCCATCGTGTTTCATCAGCCACTAACATTACAGCTTTGGGGAGAAGGGCAGAGAAAGGAAGGTTTCACATCCAAAATGTCAAGCCCTGCTGAAGAATGATAGAAAGACTGTGTGCAAGTGCAGAAACCACCATTTTCTGGCTTAAAATGGAGTTCTACCACCCCCTGCTGGACCAAATGAGCAATACAGACGTGGCTAAAAAATGCTTAGAATTGAATATAGTAGAGATATTTTAACTTGTCTTGTAATTTATTATTTTCTTTTCAAAAACCCATTTCCATGCTACACCAATAATATAACATTCTCTGCGATTACTGCACATCTCAAAATAGTGCTATTTTCGTTGCTCTTAAAGACTTCCACCAAATGTCATGTTTTAGCATTTCGTCTCCCTAATCAAATGTCCCAACTTGTCTGGACAGTTGAAAATGCTTTCATTTATGGTAAATATATTTGATGCAAATGTGTTGTAGCTACACAAGCAGACAAATTCATGTCTATCTCCACACAGACAAACGGAGATAGCTTCTACAAATTCTCTCTCAGGTTATTCTACTGGACTATTCATTTTTTTTCTTTTAGAGATAAAAGCTCCCACCACGAATTCTCCACAACCCCCCAAATCTCTTCTGGGTAAAATTACAATATAATATGATAAAATTCTGCAACCTTGCTGGATTAGTAAGGTGTTGGGAGGTGGAGGGGGCATTCAAAAATGAATGACTGCAACGCATCCCTAATTGTATCCATTTGCTTTCTGGCACACACCATCCATTGCCCCCTCTCTTAGTTTCCAACAGAAATAAGCCATCAACATTCACCTCATGGTCAGAAATTAGGGTCTTGGGAAAGAAGGAAAAAAAAGTCTCCAAGAATTGAATTTCTTGCACACGACAGATATTTTACAAATGAGTTTAACGTTGATAGTTTTTCCAGCTTCTGAAAAACACCATCGTGCCCCTTCCTTCCACGACCCCAAATATCTGTCAATACACATTAACATACTTATCCAATTTTTGATAATGAAAAATAAGAGAAAGCCAAAATCCCAGAAAAAAAGCAGCAGTTTGCCTGGATCTCCTGCTCATTGATCCCCATCTTCAATTCTGTATTTTTTTTTCTTCTCTCTTTTTAAGGGTCTCCACAAAACAGATAACAATTTTAGGGGCAGCTAAGAGAAAGAGCGAAAATAACAACAAGGATAATAACTGCAAGTTTAGTTCTTTCCTTTAATTCTTCCTGCGCCTCCCTCTCGCCTCTCTTGGATGGGTGGAAGGGGGAGGGAAAGTAAATGCAATAAAGCACCACACTCCTACCTTGCCCGCTACTGACAAGCAACCCGAGCAGGTAGAAGCAGAGGAGGAGGCTCATGTTCAGGACGTGACACCGGTGGACAGTTTCAAAGTTATTAAGTCCAGCCCTGGAGAGAGAACCTTCCGCTGCCCTGGCCGCCTCTGCTAGAACCGCCGCCGCTCCCGGGATGCCCCAGCCGCCCGCAGCCCGCGCGCTCCTCCTCGCAAAGTGACTGCAAGCTCCGCTCT